ATTGTCCGGTTGTGTTTCAATTTTCAACTTTTTTTTACTAATCGGAATGATTTGAAATTTGCAACGTATGTACATCTTAGTGAGGCGCACCTAATAAAAATATGAAAAAATTAATTCTCAAAATATAAATTCACCAAAATACTCCCGTAAATTTACGGAGTTATTTTGGTCAATTTATATTTTACGAATTATTTTTTTTATATTTTTATTAGGTGCGCCTCACTAAGATATACACACGCTCCAAATTTCAAGTAATTTGGATTCATAGAAAAAAAAATGAAAATTGAAACACTACCGGACAACTGTGACCGTACGATAGAAGTTTGGATGGTGATGAGGGTAAGCAAAATCACTCTTCATTTTCGCCTATAGGCATTGGGAAGAGTTTTCTATATATATATATATATATAGATACACAAAGCCATATAAAAATCCTTACAAACAGACATGTCCCCATGCATGTGTGGTGTGTGTGATAGAACCTGTGACTCAAAAAGGAGTGAACTAGAAAAGAAGAATCCGTACCCTGAGCTCTTGAGCAGATGGTCGATCCTTTGCATCTTTCTGTACACTGAAAACAGAATAGAATGGAAGGCCATCAGAAACTTCATTTACAATATCAAACTGGTATGGGGTGGCTATAGAGTTAATAAATAAATACTGAGAATTTTCATTCATAAATGCTTTCTGGAAAGTTTATGCTAATAAGATATGAGCTCTTGAATGAGATGTACGAGTTTGGTATGAGCATTCACAAAGTTCGCAGGTTGTGACATGAGGAGCTCAGGCAAGTGCATCACAAAATCGATAAACAGTTACAGCTAGTTTCATTGTTATAGGCTCTTAGAACCAAGAAACTCCGCCAATATCTCATAGCTCACAAGCAAAGCAATGTTACCCACTATAACCAAATTCCACTCTTATCATAAAGCAATATACTGTAGGACTCCTTAAAACTAAGACTATGGTCCTTAAAACTAATGTGTGCCCCATACCAAGCACTGCATACCTTAGATGGCCATAAAGTAGAAATAAAAAAGATGCATGTTCTCACATGGACATTGATGGAATTCAATATTTTCAGTGAAAAAAACTGCACTTTTTTTAACTATATTGAAATGCAGATAGACATACTACACTATGTTTACCATGATGAAATGAAAGAACAGAACTCAGGTGAGAACTGATCAGAAGGTGCACATGGTGCAGGCTCATCAACAATTGTCTCCAAAAGCTCATAAAAATTAGTCCATCCTTCCTCTGGATTAGGTGGTACATATGCAAAAGAGCCAGTTGCACACTCCAGCATGACTATTCCCAAGCTCCAGATATCACTTTTATAACCATATGAGCCCCCACTGATCCGTTCTGGCTAGTGACCACAAAAATCTTATAAGAAGACTCATTCATGAATTATAAAGGTTCAATGAACATTTACATTTGTCTAAAACCTTTCAAATCATCATGAAGAATGAGTACAGAAGGCAATAAGGCACTCACAGACATATAACTGTACGTCCCAACAAACGTGTCACGCTCGCCAGTGGTACTTGTTAACACAGCACTGACACCAAAATCTGTTATCTTGACTTCACCTCTATGATTGACCAGTAAGTTAGATGGTTTTATGTCCCTGTGAATGATGTGCTTCTCATGATGGAGATAAATCATACCATTAAGAACCTGCACGTAACAAATATAGAACTCGTTAGTGAAGGAGCCTATGTTTAAATCAAAGTATCTCAGTAGCTAAAAAAATAGAGAACTGGCCTGCTTACAAATGGCAGCAAGATATGGCTCTGGCATACGTCTAACTTTCTTTATAAAGTCAGCAAGAGAACCACCATCCATGTACTCCAAGACTATAGAGATGACACCATTGTCATAAAAACAATGGTAACACACCACAACATGTGGACATTGAGAAGCCTGATTTATCTTCAGCTCCTGCACAATTTGCCTCCGAACAGTTTCTTGAATGTTCATTTGAATAATCTGCAGGATTAGAAAACAATGGGAATACCACTGAGAATCTGCTTAATCAATCCGCAAATGTGAGATGATCCTCAATGGAATGAACAGTAAGAAATAAAAATATTAGATTAATAGTATTTATCAACAGAGATACGAGGGACTTATGCGACCACTAGAATTTCATTGTTTTTAATCAACATGGGCATATTTTTAGAAGTTTAAAAGGTGATCATTCTAAATCTCATTACTATGTCATTTGTTCCATTTCGAAGTAATGTCGAAGCACCAAAATCTGCCCTACACACTACTTCTATGCCCCCAAAAAAAACATGAAGATAAAATCACAGAATCCAAGTCAGTAAAACAAGCCAAGTGTACACAGCATTAACAATCTGGAAACAAGCTAACACTGATTCAAGTATATTGAAGAGCATAATTCCCAAATAACTCAGGCAATTTTCAGGTCAGATGATGAAAGGGTAGCACAATTGGAAGCTCAATAAGGAAATGAATAGGAGGACCGAAATGACAGTGAAGACAAAAAGTCTACATCCATAGTGCAACATAGAATCACTTAATTAGAGTATAGAGATAGGCATCATGACATGCTTTTTTGTACTAATACTAACGACAAGACTATGGAGTTCGTAGTCATTCACCTTATGTACGTACTCTTCAATCTTAATTCATTGGTGGGGTTCCCATAAAAACCCCTACTAGTGTAGTGACAACCATTCTCAGGTCCCACTATTAAATTTTCATAAGTTGTATTAGCTTGTGAAGTTGTGGCAATGGTTTCCCAGTTATATAAATGCACACACGAACGCAAACTGACACACAAATGCACTAGATATGCAGTGCATACGAGGCTATTTAAATGCACAGTCTTTTCAATCTCGCCATCTACAGAAAGGTAAGTCTGTGTGAAAACCATATTTATGCGGCCGATGTTCCATGATCAAATAATGGATGTAACTATTGGCCAGGACCATCTCTAACATAATTCTTGTTCTTCAATGTTTACTCGTAAAGGCATAACTAAAGCAGCTGAAGTCATTGAGAGATTTTAAGGGATTAATCTAGTCTTTTGTGTCAGGAATCAAATCATGCATTTTCTTTTAACAGATCGTACATTCTTATTTAACAGTTAATTCAACTGATATTCCTTTTTATAATGAGCAATCATAAATGCTCAAAACATATTTCAATTCAGTTCATTTAACATAAATAGAATGTTGCCTCTCAAATATCAGCATAGTTGAGGAACGATAAAGTTTTTTAAATCCAAAAAACATATCCACCTGTAATTTCGAATAATACCTTTAATGCAAAAAACTGCCCTGTCCACTTGTGGCGAACAAGTTGCACAATGCCCCCACTACCCTTTCCAATCACTTTAATGGTGTCTAAATCTGCCAATGTCAATTGGTTGTCCAATGGCTGGATAGGCGGTGGCTGTAGACAAATGGCACGTAAAACAGTGATTATAGCTACATTATTCCTGATTTTTGCTAACATGCGGAACAGGAACAAATTTGCACTCTGGGGATGATATTTAAACATGCACAGTTCAAGACATGTATGATCAGAAATAAGAATGGCATGAAATTCAGATGTCTTAGTGAAAGGCTGGAGTGATTCAACAAAGTGGAACACATATGACTATATTTTGGGTGGACAAATCCAAGAATTTCTAAATCATATAATGGTCAAACCTATATTTTGGGTGATGAATCTGGATATTGTACCCTTTCTCTTCTGAGATATTAGAAATTATCAAACAAAGGAACAAAAACAGTGTAGCATCCATGAATGCACAAAAATCAAACATCGACGAAATTCATCTACACCCTAAAGTTACATAACATTAACTGATAAAAGAAAGTTAGACAAAAGGTTCCAATGGTGTGCCGGTAATTGTATAATCCATCAGCGTAAAAGAGGCAATCATGTTGTCTGTACATTTATGGTGCAATAATTTGAACTGAAATCTAAAACACCCTTTCTCAATGTTTATTGCTTATTTGTAAGACAAATACAAAAGGGAACCAAATCAGCCACTAAGCGTCATTAAAACAGAGGGAACCAATGAGTTTTGAAAAATCACTTGGACCACAAACTCATTAAATAAAAAAAGCTAGCTCCCAAAAATTATGTTAAGTTTCAATGGCCATATTTTGATGCTTCACAAGTTTTTTAATAGCATGGAAACTTTAAAATGTGGAGATACAAAACTATATCAACTTTCTAAAGAAAGTAAAAGAATGTGCACTCAAGCAAATTTTAACTACCAAAAGTAACTATGCTTCTATTCTTCACCCCATCCATCATATGAGACAAAATGCTAACCACCAATTTAAATGAACCCATATCGACATCACTCCAAGTGATACTCAATTTAGTCAAGCCCAGTCATGATCATTTGTCCCATTACAAAATTGTAAGAATTGCCTTCCTAAACCAGATTGAAATATGAAAAATAAGAAACTAAAAATTAAACGGCTTACATGATCATTTTCATCTTGAGGGACTATGCGGAGACCGTCCTTGTTTACAAAGAGATCCCCATCCCTGAAAGTTCCACTTGCAGTGCTAAACACAAGATCCAACCAAATAAGTCCAATTACCCAAAAAAAGTTTAAATTTGACTTTTCGAGTGAAATTCAGCTGAAAACTAAAACTTCAAAAGAAATAGCAATAACAGCACTCTTTTTTTTTTACTGCCTAATTTGGAATTCAACTGAAAATGGGTACTGTAAAAGAAATACAGTGGTATCAAAGAAGAAATAAGCTTTACTATCAAAACATGAAAGGCATAAGGTCTACCCATCAGAAAAGGTAGATTTAAATAAACCAACTTGCGAACTAAAATTTCAATCCTGAATTCATCAAGCGAGGATGAGATGATAGCAATTGGATCCTAAATTTAAACATAATTGAGGCATATTTTGCCCATAATTAACGAAACACTTCACAATTAACCCTAAAAAACCTTTAAAACCATTGGAACATCAAGCATGAAGCTCATGAACAGAAATTCAAGCACTTGTGACACGAAACAAGCCTCGGAATCGGTTGAAACTTAGCATTCGCGAAAACAAACCCTCGAAATTGAGATGGCAAAGAAGGAGAAGTACAGGAATTTGGAGTAGGAGACTTCCGGTGTAGGAAGCGAGAGCGTCAGGGGCAGCTTGTTCAGTGGAGCCTTCTTCATGGCTGGATTTGATCCTAAAGCATCGCTGCAGTTCAAAAGTAAGAGAAATGGAAAAAACTTTACTCTGAAACTCTCTCTTCAAAGTTCAAACACTCATCATTTTTTCCCCTCTGTCTCTGTCTCTGTCTCTGTCTCTGTCTAAACTTTCCAGCCATTTAATTTTCTCTCTTTAAAACTTTATTTCTGACTTTCTTTCCCTGAATTCAGCAGCATGTGCAGAGAGAAATCGAGGGCCGGCAGCTGGGGTTGGTGGAGACGCTAAAATCGCCAAGGATAATTTAGTAAAATTGCATATAGTACGGAGCTTCAGATGTCGCACTTGTCCAATTGGAACACGGTGTATAAGTGTTTATTCATTTCTAATCCAGATAGTCCGAATGAGGAGGCCGAAGTTCCCCTTAGGATCGCTTTTTTATTTTCTATTTTTTTATCTTTTCAAACTTATTTAGTTTTATCTTACGTCTCCTTAAATCCATGTTCCATAAAAATCCCTTTCAAGTCCTATTTTATATAATTTTTTGGTGTGTTTTGTATATATATATATAGAAAGAGAGAGTATCGACATTATAAGACATCTCACATTAATGTGAGTAGGACTTCAAAAGATCACCATTAAATTTTTACACATATATTTAAAAAGGTTATCACATGTAGGTGTGAAACTTGAGTGAATATGTTTGTTGGTAACTTTTCTAAATATCCATGTCTAAATTTAATAGTGATATTTTGAGGTCCTACTTACATAGGTGTAAGAGGGTCTTGTAGTATCATTTCTTCTCTCTCTCTCTCTCTCTCTCTATATATATATATATATATATATATATAATTTTTTGGTGTGGTTTGAACAAAGTTGCAACATTAAACATTCAATGCCATTGCACACATTTAAATTTTATCAAAAGATTTCAAAATTTACTAAGATGGCTTAAGAATTTATTTTCATCCGTAATTATAAAATTTTAAAAACCTAAATTAATTCAAATAAAGTAGATCTATAAACACATGAAAATCTTGAAAATGGAACGGTCAAGATAATGTGTTACAAAATGCATTATTTTTTTAATTCAAAATCTTTTTTTTGCATACATCTTGATATCGAAGATCAGAGAATCAGACGAATCGGCAAATTCTGTCTCAAAATTTTTTAAAAAATCACTATCAATATAAAAAAAACAGTGTTTTTTTAGTTTCTGGAAGAAATTAAGAGTGATTGCATTATGTACTTTCATTATTTACAAAACATACATGAATATTGAAACATTGTTTCCTTATTTGGATGTCTGTATAATAATTAACTATAATATAATATTATGATAATTCATTAAATATGATTCAAAAAATACTAAAATACATTTACATATTATAAGATTAAAAAAAAATACCCTTTATAAAAAAAAATTAATATCACATCAAACATTTTTTAATTCTCTCTAATCATCCTAAAATATCACAACCTAACCAATTGTAATACTATATAATAAAATTGAAATTATTAATTTATATTTTGTAATTATTTTACTATACCAATAAGAATAAAATTAAATTGTTTAATAATATCATCTAATTCAAAAAAAAATCTTATGTACAACTGTAACAAAAAATACTACATTATATAATTTAAATACAAATAAAGTTATAAATAAAATATAATATGCTTATGGCTCAAAATATAAATTTGTAATCATGTTTTAATGAAAATAAAAAGTAAATAACTATTATTTACCTCAAAAAATTTTTATTTGACAAACTTACTATATTTCATTATTTACCTCAAAATTTATTCTTCTACCCACCCTATTAAATCACCCCCATATATTTATCTCAAAATTTATTATTCTACCAACTTCATTCAATCACCCATATTTGATCACACCCCATTTAATCCCCGATTTAATCACATGTGCCCCATTTGTCACGTATAACGGGCATATTCCGTTATATGCACGTGACTTAACGATGAGCTTGCAATGACGTATCGCTACTTTTGCCTCGCGGGACCATTCTCACATCGGAACCTCGGATCCGATATTTTATAGGATTCTCGCCGACCTGATCCGATATCATTTTTTAAAGGGAAAGTTTATATAGAGCTTAGGATATAAACAATCAAATTAGAGCCTACCTCAAAACTTTTATTCGAAGAGGTTGTTTTGATGCCCAAATATCATCAAACTGATCATCTCCACATCAAGATGCTTGGATATGAGAAAAAAAAATGGATTTCAAGTTTTATAAATAGTGTATTTTGTAACGTATTTTTAGATTGCCAATTTTTTTTATTTTTAAGTTTTTATAGATCTGCTCGATCTACACTATTTTGGAAGTTTTAAATTTTATAACTAAAGATAAAAATATAGTTTAAGGCTATCACAAAACTTTCTAACATTGAAACTGTTAGTCCCAATAAAATAAATAAATAAATAAAAATCAACAAACAACTTATTCAGATCTGTCCTTAAATCACACGTTGGACCTAAGGTTCAATACCAAATCCTATAGACCAAACCATCCGGTGACACACAACCTTGAGAGTCCTTTTTGTACATCTTCTTCACCAATTTTCCATCATTTTCTTTTTTTTTTACTTGAGGGGTTAACCTCTATTTATAGATATTCGTCTTTTTGTAACTCTCACATTCATGGTCTATAGGAGTTGAGATCCAAGTATAACTCATGTCTTAATTCCCTTAAGTGTAGCCAATTAGGATTAACAAGTTGTCACCAAATTGTTAACTTATATAATGAGCTAAGCATGATATTGGTGATTAATGACTCACACAATAGGATGTCATCCAAGCATTCCTACAATTTGATAAAAGATATTTAAAAATTGAATAGTTTTGTACATTTATAATATATATCAAAAAAACAATTGTTATAAAGAATCCAAATACATCACTGGGTTTGCCCTCCAGTGTACCGTCCTATAAAAACTCCAAAATGGATCTTAGTATATAGCATTGCCTCATGTCAACTACATGAGATTTTAGATATACTATACAATATGGCTTTTGTATCATTATTGAAAAATAAATTCCCAGGATAAAAAGGGCCTGATAGGCCATATTTCCAACATAAACCATATTTCTTGATACTATTTGAAGGTGGGCTTTAATTTGATTGTTTACAGCCTCGTCTTTATACAAACCGCACCCTTTTTTAAAACATTTAATTTGAAATGGGAACCTATCCAATCCGATATTTTATGGGATTCGAAATGGCCTAGTTGATCTGGATCATCAATCCATGGCTTAGCTGATCCGGACCACCATAGTTTATATAAAGTTGCAACTTTAAAATGTAGAATTACGCATGCACCTAAAAAATCCATTGAAAAAGGTTGTTTTAATATTGAAAAAACCTCTAATCTCGATATTGAGATATATGAATATGTAATCTCGATATTGAGATGTATGAATATGAAAAAAAACAAAAAAAGATTTTGAGTCTCAAAAATAGTGCATCTTGCAATACATTATCTAGACCGTCCATTTTCAAGATTTTCATATGTTTATAAATCTACATGATTTGCACCATTTTTTGAGTTTAAAAATTTGTAACTAGATATGAAAATGGATTTTGAGATAATCCTAAGAATGTTTTTCAAAATTACCTGTTATGATAAAATTTGGAGGTGCACTTTAATTGGATAGTTTAATGTTGCAACCCTTTTTTAAAACATTGAATTTTACTCTATCCGGTCCAAACCTTATTCAGACCGCCAATCTAGCATTCCGATATAAATATGTAGGTGAATGATCCAACAAGTTTAAATATGTAGGTGAATGATCCAACGAGTTTCAAAAGTGCGAAGTATAAAGGTAGTGGGATCATTTTCATATGGGAAACAGTTAGATTCGATATTTTATGAGATCCGAAACATCATTTTTTGAAAAATTGAATTTGACTCTATTTGATCCAAATCTTATTCAGACCCCCAATCCAGCAATCCGATATAGATATGTAGGTGAATGATCCACCCCAACTAATATAGGTTTTAAAATGCATGATGGTACACCATGTTTTTGGTGGCAAAACAAAAATTTGAGGAAATTGTGCCATGTTAGCAAATGGGCGCTAGTCTAACCAGACCATATAAATTAAATGGTCTTGTCCCTCGAGAGCATAATTAGGGAAATGTTTTTTTACCAAGAAACCTCTGGAAATTAATTCCACCAAAAAAGAAGAGTAATAAAATTTTGATTTGGAGAACAAGACTCCTGTAAAAATCTTGATTTAGAGCGCAAAAATGCTCCAAGTCAATGACGAATTCTAGATCGTCAATTATTGGGATTAAAGGTCTAGGATATCAAGAATTTAAACTTCTTTTTTTTTTTTTCATAAAGATGATTTTAAAAACTTCCTATAAAAAATAAGGGATGGGGTAGCATCCGCATGATGTGGACGCAACGTTTTAGATTGAACCTAGTCTCATCTACAGTCAAACTAAATTTGTTTTGTTTTTTTTTTAAAATATATATTTATCTAAAATTTAGGGTGTAAATTGCACTTTACTGCACTAAATAAAATGATATAAAGTTATTTTAACTGAAATAACTTTACTAGAGTTCTCTTAAATTGTTTTAAGGGAATTCTGGTCAAATATTCAGTAAAAAATTATTTTTTTATTACTTTTATTTAATATGATGGAAAAATGAATCAACACACTAAATTTTAGATAAATATAGTTAATTTGTGACCGTTGGATGAAGCTTTGTTCAATCTGAACCTTGTAACCATGTATTTAAGGGCTTCTCTATTGAGGGGCTCTACTCAATAATAGAAAATATATACAATGAGACCGTTTATTTTTTATATAAGGAGGCTACAATGATTATCGACTATTAGATTTGAGATAGGGTGGTTGAACATGTGTCATTGATCCGCCACAGTATCCAAAACAATTTTTCTTAAATGTTGTGACCATCAATTTAAAAATCGGATTGATGACTCAGATTAGGCATCGCAAAAATTGGTATGGATTGTTGTATCGGCGGTCTGGATCGCTATTTTACTGCACAAAAAAAAAAAGGCGAACCAGCTAAAAAACACATGCATAAAATAGTGAACCCACCAAAAACCCATCTACATCAGTGCATCGATGTTTTACTAAGCAAGGCGGCATTTTTACTATGGGAAAATGCTCGTTTTACTGTAGCTGTCACACCCCAAGAATTTACAATAATGATATTCTTGAGATGTGACAGTCAAAACATATATATATCTTTACGATGGCAAATTCTTACAAAGTAACAAAAGAAAGTTTAAGCACAACTACAATATATTCCAGAATTGATC